CCGAGCGCCGCCGGAGTGCCCTCCACCGAGCGCCGCGCTCCCTGCGTCGCCCCCCCGCCGAGCGCCGCCGGAGTGCCCTCCACCGAGCGCCGCGCTGCCGGAGCGCCCCCCCCCACAGAATGCCGTGCCACGCTGCCCCCCGCCACCCCAAGATTGGCCGCCCCTTACCAGGTGCCGCCCCAAGCATGTGCTTGGTTGCCTGGTGCCTGGAGCCGGCCCTGCTTCTGAGCCCCCTCCCACCCACCTCCCAGTTTCCTCACTAAAATAACAAGAATACGGATAGATATGCTTAGGTAAAATCCAATGCTGCAGTCTAGTAACCAAAATGCATTCAGTAGATAAGGAAGTTTCAACACATTATGGAATTTCATTTTGGATTTCAGGTTTCAATATGTTAGCTGTGTGAGTCAAAGAGAACCCCAAACTAGTAAACTCAGACATACAGAGAATATTATATTCTTTTTACATACCCGCAAAATATCATCTGTAAGAGTGCCTCTACCTGGGCCTAGTTCCACCAGTTGGAGAGTTTTAGGTTTGCCAGTGGCCATCCATTCACTAACGTACCATATTCCTATTAACTGTTGCGAAGAAAACACACAAAACTTACTAGAATTTATAGCACTAGTGATACATACACCTGCATTTCACCTACAGAAACCAAAACATTTACATTATTTTACCAGTCTTACAGGATGGATCTGTGCTGAAAAGTGGCTACATAAAATTCTCATTCTTTTACTAAGCAGCCAACATGACTCCTGAACCTCTAGAGCATGGGTGGGCAAACTTTTTGGCCCAAGGGCCACATCTTGGTATGCAAATTGTGTGGAGGGCCATAAATGCTAACGAAATTGGGGGTTGGGGTGCAGGAGGGGGTGATGGCTCTGGCTGGCGATGCGGGCTATGGAGTGGGGCCAGAAATGAGGAGTTCAGGGTGCGTGAGGGGGCTCCATGCTGAGGCAGGGGATTGGAGGGGAGAGAGGAGGAGGGGAAAAGGACACCGGCTGGGGATGCGGGCTCTGGGGGTAGGGCTAGGGATGAGGGGCTGGGACAGAGGGATTTGGAGGATGGGAAGGGGATCAGGGCTAGGGCAGGGGGTTGGGGCGTGGGAGGGGATCAGGGGTGCAGGCTCCAGGCAGCGCTTACTCAAACAGCTCCCAGAAGCAGCAGCATGTTCCCCCTCCGGCTCTGTCCACTGCCCTGTCCACAGGCGCTGCCCCTGCAGCTCCCATTGGCTGCGGTTCCCGGCCAATGGAGCTGCGGGGGTAGCGCTTGGGGTGGGGCCAGCATGAGGAGCCCCTTGGCTGCCCCTACATGTGGGAACCGGAGGGGGGACATGCCACTGCTTCTGGGAGTCGCGCGGAGCGGGGCAAGCCCCGGACCCTGCTCCACGGCGGGAACTCGAGGGCCAGATTAAAACATCTGGAGGGCCAAATGTGGCCCCTGGGCCGTGTTTGCCCACCCTGCTCTAGAGGGAGCAGATCTGATTACTGTCAGCCCTGAAGAACTAAAACCGTTCTGGGAGATTGAGTTGGATTCTTTTCTGGCTTGTGCATCAAAAGAATTGTTAACTATCAAATGTTCCACATAGGCAACTAGCACTGATACAATACCTTTTCATAAGTGCAACTGAAAGCAGAATTTGGCCTGTACAGTCTTTATTACTGGTAATAGCATCAGTCAGAAAGCATGGGATCTAAAAGTCAAGCTGTGTTCTGAGTTCAAGCCTGGAAGTTACAACAGTTTTTTGCTTATGAACAAAACAAATTTGGTATGAAAATAATTCATACACAATACACGTGAAGGCCCCAAATGCTTTTTTCTTTCAACAAAGTCACTTTTCAGATGTCTATTTATTTTTGCTTCTCAACAAATGTTATCAGCACTGGTAACATATATGACCACATGTTCATAAAACATACTGTTACAAATACAGTTTAAGGATGAAAGGAACGTTTAAAAAAATAATTTTATATTACCTCCCCAAAGATTTGACTTATTTCAGGTGAAGTAACAAAATCTCCTCTTTCTCCCAGCATGTCATGGTGCATATAGTAACCCTAAAGTAAAGTAAAAAAAAAAAAAGAATAATATCACATATCACTAATATGTAAGCCTTCATATTCTCCTGAGCTTTAAAAATTAAATCACTTTCCAGTCTACTGAACAAATGTAGTCATTTTAATGCTGAAAAAAATGAAACAAATCCAAAATACCACATAAAACTCCTCCTATGGAAAATGGCGAGAGTTTGATTGATGCAACAACAAATTTTACATCAAGGAAAAAATAAGAAATGAATTTGGATTTGTAGAAGAAAAAGGATAAATGTTAAAACAATTAAAACATTGACTTTTATTACTGAGCTTATTACTTCCCCTTTTTATGAGTCCCTAGAAATCTGAACCTGACAGTGTTCTGTATGACAGCTTAACTTTCTATGATCATTTGATCAGCGTGGGTTAAAATTACCAAGTTGTCAATTCCATTTGAGAGAGGACAGTCTGATTTGTACAGCACTCAGAATTAATTTTTTTGCAGACTTTACAACCAACTAAAGAAGTCATTCTTCACATCATAACAGAATTGAGCATTGCCATAATAACTGAAATTAACAAGGTGGAGGGGAGATGATGCCAAGCTAACTAGAACAGAGACACATCTAATAAGATATTAAATAGCTAAGCGGCTAGTAGGAGAAACCCGATTGCAGGTGCTTCTTCCAGAGATAATGCTGCTGCTGCTGGCAGTGCAATGCAAGTGAGGGGGTGTGCATCTCAAATTATAAAGGAAAATTTTGCCAGGACTGAGGAAAATCTCACTAATGAACCCTCCTCCCCTCTCTCACCTGCCTCCCCCAACTGAATGATCACAGCATTTTCCAGGGAGGGAATTTTTGTGTAGTTTTCCTATCATCTGACACTCATGACTATTTCTGTAGGAGACCCAAATGAGTGAAAAGGACAGTTACCTGTTCCGTAACTGGCGTTCTTCGAGATGTGTTGCTCCCGTCTATTCCACAGTAGGTGTGTGTGCTCGCCACGTGCACCGGTGCCAGAAGTTTTTCCCTTAGCAGTACCAGTAGGAGGAGAGCACTGCTGTGACCCCTGGAATGGCGCCTCTATATCGCGCTATAAGGGGAGCTGCGCACTCCCCCCACCCTTGGTTCCTTCTTGCCAGACAACTCCGACAGAGGGGAAGGAGGGAGGGATGTGGAATAGACAGGAGCAACACATCTCGAAGAACGCCAGTTACGGAACAGGTAAATGTCCTTTCTTCTTCGAGTGATTGCTCCTGTGTATTCCACAGTAGGTGACTCCAAGCTATATCTGATGGAGGTGGGTAGGAGTTTAAAGGTTATCGGGACGGAGTACCGCCCTACCAAACCCGGCATCATCCCGTGCTTGGGAGACGATCGCATAGTGTGAGGAAAAAGTGTGGACAGAGGACCATGTGGCAGCCCTACATATGTCCTGGATAGGGACGTGGGCCACATAGGCGGCTGACGAGGCTTGAGCTCTCGTAGAATGCACCTTTACTATAGGCGGCGGGGGAACCCCTGCCAAGTCGTGACACGTGCGTATGCACAAGGTGATCCAGCGGGAAATGCGCTGGGTGGAAACTGGTTGCCCCCTCATCTGCTCGGCTGACGCAACGAATAGTTGCGAAGACTTCCTGAACGGCCTGGTTCGGTCCAGGTAGAAGGCCAGCGCTCTACGTATGTCTAGCGTGTGTAGGTGGTGTTCCTCGTTGGCGGAATGGGGCTTAGGACAGAGTACTGGCAGGAAAATGTCCTGATCCATATGGAAGGCGGAGACCACCTTCGGGAGAAACACAGGATGTGGACGAAGCTGGACCTTATCCCTGTGGAAAACCGTATACGGGGGTTCTGAGGTCAAGGCCCTAAGTTCCGAGACCCGATGGGCTGAGGTGATAGCCACCAAAAATGACACTTTCCATGAGAGGTGGGACCAGGAACACGTGGCCAAGGGTTCAAAGGGAGGACCCGTGAGGCGGGATAACACTAGGTTCAGATCCCATTGCAGGACCTGGGCCCTGGAGTACGGAAATGCACAATCAAGGCCCTTTAGAAAGAGGGAGGTCATTTGATGGGAGAACACGGATTGACCTTGCACCGGAGGGTGGAAGGCTGAAATGGCCGCTAAATGAACCCTGACGGAGGCAGGGGGTAGTCCTTGGGTCCTAAGGGACAGGAGGTAATCTAGAATAAACTGGAGGGATGCAGATGACGGGGAGGTGCTCCGCTCCCCTGCCCACCTGGAGAACCTAGACCATTTGGCAAGGTACGTGCACCGTGTGGACGGCTTTCTGCTCTCTAACAGAATTCGTCTTACATTCTCCAAGCACCTTCCCTCCTCCTCGTTTAACCATGGAGCAACCACACTGTCAGGTGGAGCGCGGCCAGGTTGGGGTGGAGAAGGCATCCCTTCTCCTGGGAGAGGCGGTCTGGGCGAAGCAGCAGCCTCTGCGGGGGGGGGGGGGGGGGGGGC